ATATATCTATATATCTATATATCTATATATCAAACCACAAACCATTAAGCATTATTTTTTGGGAAAAAAAGAATAAATAGGTTCAGCGTTTGGGTGATATGCTTAACATTAACTGTGGAAAACCAGATGTATTTTCTTTGTCGGCAAAAGCAGCATCGTTAATAACTTGTAAAGTGATTATTGCTCTGTATTTCTGGAAGGCCCGTTCATTGCCTGAAAATAATAGTCGCGATGGGAAGTGAGGGTTATACCAGGGAGGAAGAAAATTCCGACCGGGTTAAGTAAAATCCTTTTGTATATTTTACAGCTGCCTTCACCATGATCGGCACTTCCAGCCATTTGTCAGATAAATGCTCCCAGTTTGCTATTCCCTCGCTGTGCCATTACGCCTTCCCCTACTGCGACGAGACGTCAGCAGCTCCCAAACCGCGAGACCTGTGCCGTGACGAATGTGAAATTCTGGAGAACGTCCTCTGTCAGACTGAGTATATTTTCGCAAGGTCTAATCCCATGATTCTGATGAGATTAAAGCTGCCCAACTGCGAAGATCTGCCCCAGCCAGATAGCCCCGAAGCTGTCAATTGTATCCGCATCGGGATTCCAATGGCAGATCCCATAAACAAAAGTAAGTGAAAACCTTCTGTGCTCGTGTATCAGAGTTGGAGCTAATGCTGGGCTTTGAGAGCTCCTGCTCTTGAATTGCGCTGCTCCCTGAGCTGAGAAATTCAGAAATACTTTTTTTCTTTTTTTTTATCTTTAGCTGGGGTCACACTAAACGCTATTTCTGGGCTTCATTTTTTTTCTAGTGAATATGAAGTAGGGAACAATGACAGTGCAAGCATTTGAATACTGAGGAACATCGGTAGCTTCACCCTCCGCATCCTCCCAGAGCAGCCCCGTGTGCCACGGCAAGACTAAGGAGTGCTCGTGGGGAGGAAGGTTCGTGGGGGTCCACGGCTTTCCCTGCCTCATCCAGCCCAATTTTAGGCACTGACTGAGCTTGCTCTTTGATCAGGCTGGGCTGCAGCCTGTTCACAACCCTTATACATCTGAATAGTCAAATATAAAACGTGTCTCCCACAAATTCTCCACCTTCATATGAAAATAATGGCCTGCCATTCAGCTTCCCACTGTAGTTTTTACTTCTTTTGTGTATCTTATATTAAAAACGCTTGGCATAAGCTGTTTTCATTACAGAAGCATAAGCTTTAAATCCTCCCAGGAATGTGAATGCAAAGCAGGCCCTGGGTTTCAGCTGCAGCAAATTGGGAGCCCGTGCTCCCAAACTGGGTTTCCCGGCCACGGGCCAGCAGCAGCGTGCTGCTCACCGCCCCCACCCACCTTTGCCGTGACCAACTATTATTTTGGAAAATTACTTATTTCTTTATTTTTCAGATCACAAATGCTACAACAGCACGGGAGTAGATTACCGGGGGACGGTGAGTGTGACAAGGTCGGGGCGACAGTGCCAGCCATGGAACTCGCAGTACCCCCACACCCACACCTTCACCGCCGTCAGGTACCCCGAGCTCAACGGGGGCCACTCCTACTGCCGCAACCCAGGCAACCAGAAGGACGCCCCGTGGTGCTTCACCTTAGACGAGAACTTGAAGTCTGAGCTTTGTGACGTCCCAGCGTGTGGTAATTATTTGACCTTTTTTTTATGTTTCGCTTTGGAATGAAAAAGGGGGAGTGTTCGTTTGTGCGGCAACCCTGCAGAACGGAGGGAGCTGTGCCCGAAGTGTCTTTTTTTAATCCTTGAAATGAGAGCTGTAGGAAGGGCTAAAGCCACAGCATCCCAGCCTCGGGGACATGGAAATATTTTATTAGGGAATACCTGAGCGCTCCCCAGGAGGTGGTGAAGCAACAGCGCATCGCCAGCCCAAGTGTCCCGGGCTTTCCAGGTTACTGTTTTGATCCGTACAACTCCTTAGTCCAAATTAAATCAGATCAGAGAAGTTGCACTGTTGACACTGATCCACAAAGCGTTTATAAAGCTTTCTCCATGTCGCTTGGTGTATTAAGAAACGTTTTCACAGAATCACACAATTGTTGAGGCTGGAAAAGACCTCTGAGATCAAGTCCAGCCTATGACCCAACACCATCACATCAGCCAGACCATGGCACTAAGTGCCTCATCCAGCCTCTCCTTAAACACCTCCAGGGACGGTGACTCCACCACTTCCCTTTTAATAAATGCACTTTAATAAACGCAAACTTTGCTGAACAGAGTTCAGGCCTTGTTTGAAAAACAGAGATAATCTTGTCAGATCATCTTAGCTGTATTTTAACTTCGTATTTACAGAACTGCCCTGGCTGCGTTTTGCAAAATGAACAAAAATGTCTCTCGTTTTATTCTGCTTTTCTGAACCCCCGGGGCAAGTGGTTGGAAGACCTGAACAAATGGTTCCTAATTATTTTATCTGCATTTAGAAATAGCAATATTGGCAGTGAGCCAGGAAAAAAAAATAAAGCTGTTTCTATGGACATGCCAGAAATGCACCCAGAAATGTTCTGGAAATTCACGGTACAAAGTTTCACACAAAATTTTATGTTGCCTACAAGTTGTCACAGTAACATTATCTTTCCCCTTGGAAAGGAGATACCTTTTAATGTTACTGTTCGATAGCCAGAACCAAATTAAATTATCTCTGGTTATGGTTGTGAATATTCCTGCAGTGAGACACGTTCTGAGCCTGCTCCAAAGTCTTTTTCAATTAATGGAAAGATGGGAATTGATGCCAAAAATGGGATCTAAATTACGTTCTTACTGAAAGAGTAGATCAGGGGAAAGACAGACAGTCTGGGCTACATCGTGTGCATCTCAAACCTTCTCTATCATTCATATACGCTCTTTAGTGCTGTATCTCTTTTGCTGCTCTTTCAGTGCATTTAACTTCAGTTATTTTTCTTGTTAATTAGGCACAGTGATAGACTGACTGCACCAGAATAGTTCAATCTGTATCAGATCTTTTTCAGCACTTCAGTACAATAATCTGGATCTAAGTGGCAGTCGGCAGGACTCCCCTTAAGCCTAGTTTTGGCTCTTGGCTCTCCACCCCGTGAGGAGACAAGGGTTAGCCCTGGGCAGTTTGGGCAGCTCGGTTCGGGCAAGCTCAGGGTCTCTTCATGTCCACCACCAGCGATGCTGCTGAGCTTTCTGCACACCGTGCCGCTGTCCGACCTTTGAGCCATGTGCGTTTTGTGTTTTCCACGACTTCTGGATAATTGGGTAATTAAGAGTTGATGGGCGGGAGGGGTTTTTGCCAGGCTCCCTCTAGACAGGCTCCAAAATCCCAGGACCAGCTCAGTCTTTTGATCTGAAATAGCTCAAAGCGTGACGCTTTTGGACGTGTTGCAAAAGTCTCCGATTTGAGCGTTTTACTAGTTAATAAATGAGATAGGCTGGCTGGCTTGAAGAATTCCTGACAAGGGGTTTTATGGCCTCTCACCACTGCCTTAAAGGGTACTTGCTGGACAGCTGGGTTAGATGGCATTATTATTCTAAATGCAGACAAACGGAGCTATATCAGGTGAGTGGTAATTTAATTGTTAAATGCTAATCTGCATATTAAAACCAAAATACCATGCGGGACTTGCATCCTGCTGGCTTTGCACTGGCTCAAAGGGCCATTTCAGGCACATTTTAATAAGTATTGTGCATTCTGCCTCACCAGGACATGCCTAGATGGGAAATGGATTTAATTAGGGTGGCTCCCAAGAAACCTATTAACCTAATGAGGCTTCACGGCAGGAGCTGCTACTTAGGAAGAATAATAATTCCTTTTGACTGGAATAGCTCAGGTGATGAACTAGTGTCTAGGTCTCCGTCTGCCTCGTGCCGACGCTTTCTTTTTCTTTCTTCAGCCGTGTCTTTGAGTTGTCTCACAAACTTCGTTTTGTGCAAGATTGTCAATGTAGGAAGATGTGAAACATGGAGTAATTCAAGCACGAGGCTCAGCAAAGACAAACGTGGGAAGGTTTTGAAGGAGAGAGGGAAGGCACTGATGGTCTGTCCGTGCTAGAGGGCAGCAACTCACAAATAAAATCCACAACAGGTCCATGCCATAGAGCTGGACCTTCTCTGAAGACGAGGTGAGAGCACATGCCACCCTTCGGCAGGACACAGGGAGACGGTCGCGGGGACGGCGCTTTAGTCCTCTCTCATTTCCCAAAGGCTGTAGAAACATTCAGCCTACCCCTCCTCTCAATTAAAAACCAGATGGCACAGCTTAATCTGAAAAGAATGGTCAAAAAGGAGCGTGGGAGGAGCAGGAGGATAGCGGGAGAGGAGAGAGGTTATGCAAAGTGTCATCCAGAACCGCTTGAACTTTGCCTCTGTCACAATTTGAGTCAAACCCAAGCTTCAGATCAAGTTCATGTTTAATTAAGCACATAAAAGATATCTGTGTGGGCCACTAAGCGCTTCTACAAATCCAGCCTGGAAAAAACAGACAAACAAACTGAAATGACCCGGTAGGAGTAATGAAACATTCCCCATCCTGCCAGAATCCATTCACTAGGGCTGATGCTGCCGCAGACGTTCGCCATCTCCTTCCGATGACACACACTTGGTATAGAGTTGGTGGAGGGCTGAGTTTTCCCATTAGCCCATTAATCCTACAAAGACCAAGTCCTCAGAACATAAGATTTTAAGATTATGCTACGGCTTTTGTCTGCGTTCAGACTTTTTGAACCCCTTTCCTGACTTTCTGGGATAAAAACCGGTGCTGTTCTCTCAATTTCCTACTGTTTCCATGCATTTCCTCCCATTTCCCAGGTGTCATCTGTTTCTTCTGGTCTAGATTCCCTAATTGTCCTGCTCCTGCAGCTAAAACTAACTAGAAAATAAGTTTTTAGTTGTACATGGTGTTTGTTCCAATGCCCTGGGTGGCCACACAGGTGCTTTGGCCAAAGCTAGGAGATGCTGAGAACAAGAGGCTGGAGATAAGTAGGGCGATAAAACTATCTTTTTTAGGGGCACTTCTGTTGGATTAAGGAAACTATGGCACCAAAACGTAATATATGGATTAAAATAAGGAGTCCCTAATCCTACCAGAGCTTTTCTTCCCTAAGCTTTTTCACAAATCAGCTTTTCTGTGGACCTGTGCTAGACCATTACTTCATTTTTTCCCAAGCAGTGGCCAGCTATTGCATAACCATGAGTAGGCTTGAACTGAGGTGCTGCAGGGAAATTGTTCCTGGCGGTGCTTTCTCCTTCCAGAAATGTTATTCAAGAAAATAAATCGCTCTGTTAATATTAAAGAAATAAAACAACATTCAAGGTGGAATTGCAGTAGTATTAGCTGAATGTTTTTTTGATTCTTAACACTTCTAGTTGACCTGAGGATGTATTCGACTCCATGGGATACTTCATTCATTGTTTGGTTTTGGTTTTCTTTTTCTTTTTTCCTGAACCAGATTATAAGGATTCCAAGGAAAAGAATAAAATGGAAATCCTGTATATCCTGGTGCCCAGCGTTACTATTCCCCTGGCCATAGCCTTACTCTTCTTCTTCATCTGCATCTGTCGCAACAACCAGAAGTCATCCTCCCCTCCCGTTCAAAGGCAGCCTAAACACGTCAGAGGACAAAATGTGGAGATGTCAATGCTCAACGCCTATAAACCAAAGGTAACCCCTCATTTCTGCTTGGACATTTGCTGTCTGCAAAGGCAGGGAGTGAAATGCTCTGGCCAGCTCGGCGCTGAAACGTGAAGCTGATTTCCAGCTTGCGGTTTCTGATGGCGGCTTTAGCTGTCATTTTTGTAAGGACTTTTCTCAGCAGCAGCATAGCAAGTGTGCTGGACCTGTGGAGGTAATTCCTGTGTGTCTATATATCTAGCTAAATAGGAGCTGGAGGTTTTTTGTAATAAAGCAAGCAACCCGTTACCGAAGCATCTCTAAATCGCCTCATTTAAGTGAGAAAACAGTGCAGGGAAAGATGTGATTCAGCATTTTCTCAAGAGAGTTTTTTTCATGGGTCGGCTGTAGCCATATGTCGTCTTTCACTCAGCTGAAATCTCTCTGGAAAGATTTCTTGCGTGGTTTTTTTTTCAGGCTTTACTCGTTCTCTCAGTCAAAAACAGAAATTGCCAAACCAGAACCTCGGAAATCTGCCTGCAGCTCTGGCCAGCACAGCTGATGCAGAGCGGCTCTTGTTGCTTGTTTTGCTTCACTCTAGTCCCAGGTTCACAAAGCAGGGGTTTTTTTTAAATCATTTAAGATTTAAGTGTGATTAACCCTGAGCTCCTTGTTTATTGGCAAGGCAGCTGGTTTGCAAACTGAGTATGGATCACTCATTTCAGGGCTGTAACTGCCTTCTGCCACCTACAGACAGAATAACACCCTGGAAAGAGCCTTTGCCTTGCTTTTTACACCGTGCCAATTCTCTTCAACAACTTGATGGAGATTGTTGTTTTGAAGCACTTCAGAGTGAAAATCCATATCTAGAAGTAATTAGAATGGAAACTGTGTGGATTGTTGAATCTGAAACACTCAGGCTTGCTTTTGAGTAAGCTCTTATTTTTGTTAGGAAAACGACATAGCAAACTCAATGCAAATTCTGATTTTCTTGAGTTTCAGCAATGTAAATTCTAACCTTCAAATATTGCTGCTGTAGGTATTCCTTCGGCAGATCTGATTGCTCGACATCGGGAAAGGTTACACTTGCACTCCAGAAGCTGTATTCTGAATAAATTCTGGAGTAGTTTTCTTCAACGAAGTAGCTATGGGATGCTGCTGTTGCTTGCATTTAAATGGCAAGTTTATAGAATTAGGTTATAAAAATTAAGGAAAAATTACTGAAGTAGTATCCCTGGAGATACAGGGAGTGCACTACAAGGGCCAGAGGTGGGTGGATGGGTGAATGGATGGATGGGTGGATGGAGGGAAGGAGGGAGGGAGGGAGGGAGGGATGGATGGA